AGAGAGAGAGAGAGAGAGAGAGAGAGAGAGAGAGAGAGAGAGAGAGAGAGAGAGAGAGAGAGAGGAGCTCAGTAAGCTGGCTTAGGGAGGGTGCTCATTGAATAGAGTCCAATAACTCAAAGTGACACCCTCAAACTGTCGTCAACTTTGTGATATTCCTACCCAACCTTGTAAACCCCAACAGGGCTAAAACACTCCCTTTGACCCATATACATGCTGAATAATGTATATTGCATTTGAACTGGAGCAAGACCCCCCACTTGTTTTATTTTTAAACCCCCATTAACTGGGAGGGTTGTGCTCTTCCCAAAGTGGTGATTGCAGCAGGCCCACATTTTCCCCTCACAGACTGCTTTAAAAGCACGGTCTGCTAGAGGCTCAAATTACCCCCTCGTAAAAAAAAAAAAAAAAAAAAAAAAAAACTCCCTCGTGGACTGCCTGAAGCTGGTCTGTCATTCGGTCTCGTCAGGCTTGGCGGGGCCAGTCTGGAGTTTGTGATGACGAGCGAAAATCTCTGCGATAGCACGGTGCAGCTTCGCTGCGTATTGTGTTCATATGGGACGCTGGGCCCGATTCCCAGCACGTGCTGCTCCCCACAAATAGATCGGAGCGAGTCTTAAAAAAAAAAAAAAAAAACTTCGCTGTGTACTTCCGGGGTCAGTGCGCTTGGCAGGCTGTTGTTAAAATCGATCAGTGGTGGCCTCGACCTTGGGGGGCTAGCGGTGATGGGGACCACGCCAGGCAAAAAAAAAAAAATAGAGCCTGGAAACATACTGGTGGTCTACGTGACACGCGCGGCCACAGCCGCGGGAAATTAGGCCGCAGCGGCCGAAAAAGTCGGCCGCGGCCGCGGCCAGGAGGCCCAGTTCGCGGTGTGAAAAAAAAAAGAAAAAAAGTACGGGGTTGTAGGATTTGCAAAACTTTACAACCCCATGTATGTTTTTTTCGTTTTTTGACTTGATTTACGAATTAAAAAAGAATGAAAAACGAAAATCGGTTGAAAAGAAAAGAAATAAAAAGAAATAAAAGAAAAGGTCTGGAAAGCAGGATTTCCCCCCCCCCATTTTTTCCATGTCTGATATGGAGTTAGTCCTAAAAATTTTGCACAGGTAATTTTCTTTTTTCTTCTTAGTCTTCTTCTTCTTCTTCTTTGCTGTTTTCTTTCTTCTTCGTCTTCTTCTTCTTTTTCTTCTTCGCTGTTTTCTTCTTCTTCTTCTTTGCTGTTTTTTTTCCTTCTTATTTTTCTTCTTCTTCTTCCTTGCTGTTCCCCCCCCCCCTTTCTTCTTCTTCTTCTTCTTC